ATAATTGAGTATTGCTTTAAATAAATGGGTGCGTTTGTCTCCCATATTGGGAGAAAAATAGAGTAATAAATAGTATTTTTTAGAAAATATTTGATTGAAATTTAAAGTAAGTTTATTAACTTGTGTGTAGAATATTTTATTGGGTAAATATACGATGGTGAATCTTACTATAACAAATAATTTTTTGAAATAATTGTAAACAAACAGGGACTATATGCACACCAATAATTATTGAAGAAAAAACCCTTAAAATCTTTTAATGATTGCTATAAAGTCATTATTTTAAATTTCATGATTTGACGTACGTTAATGATAGATGTTGTGGTTTTGTCAGAAGTTTATGTTACATGTGTGACCAATTTAGTTCTCCCAATAGAACAATATATACAATTTTTTTGGAAGAAAGTAAAATTCTTAGTCTCTACTTAGAAATTTTAAGTTGATCCCTCTACGAGATTATATCAATTGAGCACTCTCCACTCAAAAACGAATATTTAAGAGTGAGTTCTACTCGACGTAGTTGTAACCGTTAGTATCAAAATAGACACATTTCTAGAAGTCTGGAGATGCTTCTTCTAATAAAAAGACATGTTCTGTAAGACCACGTAATGATGAATATGGGTTGTCATAGACATTGGTTTAGAAAAAAAAGAGAGGTGATATTTAACCCTTGTACATATGTTTTAAGAACGAGTCATACCAACCATATTTGCTATCAAGATCATCTTTCTAATTTTTTTTTTTTTTTATTATTATTTTTCATTTTAATCTCACTCAAATTTATCGTTAGTTTCTATTTTGACTCTAATATGTTGGCAGGTGAAGTCATCTCTATAGTCGGCTTAGGCCCATTTGGCAGATTTTTGGGGGAAAAAAAATGCTTCTAAGACTATGAAACCGATTTTGAATTTTTGAGAATTTTTTTAAAATTAATTTGTCTAGTATTTAGAAAAAAAACTGACTTAAAATAACTTTCTCAAGAAATTCTACAAGAAGCAAATTTAAAAATCGTGTCAAACGAGCCCTAAATCACCCTTCTAGTATTGGTTTGAATTGGTTTGATCTAAAAATTCTTAAAATGCCATTCTACGTCAATTTCTTGCTGTCTAAGCATGATTCTCTTAGTGACATCTAACTAAATATAGTAGAGTCAGTTATGGTTACTGTTCACAAGCCGTGAGTCGAGCTGAGCCAAATGGCTTTACGGCTCGGCTCGACACGACTATTTTTTTTTCCTTCTTTTTTTTTTTCTTTTACGTTTGATTCAGTATTTTAAGTTACAGATATTCTTTTTAAACAATTTAAAATTTGTTGAAAATGTTAAAGTGCGGCCATGATAAATATATGATCGATAAATTTTAAATATCAAAAATTGAAGTGCAGACATAATAAATATATAATCGATAAATTTTAAATATCAAAATAATTTTACATTAATTGTGAAATGTAAAGTCGTGATTATTTATTTTTCTTTTCAAACTCAACCTCATTCTAATATCATTTTTTCGAACTATATTTTCGTACAATTTTTCGTTTGATTCGATATTTCACGATATGAATATCTATTTGGATCGATTTCAATTTTTGTAAAAAAAACTTAAAATGTGATAATAAAAATAATAAATATATTGTCGATTAAGTTAAAATATAAAAATGGATTTATAGCTAGGCTAAGCCTTTGTTTTTTGTTTTTTGTTTTTTTTTTACGTTTCATTAGTTTCTTTTAATTTTTTTGGGTTTATTAGTTATTTTAACTTTTTCTTTTTTTCGATTAAGCTTAAATATAAAAATGACTTTATGACTTGACTCGGCTAACCTTTTTTTTTTATATTAGTTTTGTTTACTATTTACAAGCCAAATGGCTTGACGACACGAATAGGCTAAGCCTTTTTTTTTTTTACGTTTAATTCGGTATTTTAAATTACAGATATTCGTTTTAAGCGATTTAAAATTTGTTGGAAATGTTGAAGTGCAGCCATGATAAATATATGATCGATATATTTTAAATATCAACATAATTTTACATTCATTGTGAAACGTAAAGTCGTGATTGTTTATGTTTCTTTTCAATCTCAACATCATTCCAATATCTTTTTTTCGAACTTTATTTTCCTACAATTTTTCGTTAGATTCGATATTTCACGATATGAATATCCATTTGGATCAATTTCAAATTTCTTTAAAAATTTAAAATGTGATAATAATAAATATTTGTCAATTAAGTTAAAATATAAAAATGGCTTTATGGCTCGGCTCAGTTAAGCCTTTTTTTTTTTCAATTTCTTTGGGTTTATTAGTTATTTATTTCGAGTTTTTTCCCTGTTCTTTTGTTTAAAAATTGATTAGGGATTTATGAAATAAATGACAATGACTGTTCTGTTGGGTATTGGTGAGAAGATATTTTGTGATAACTGGAGGCTGTGGTAGAAGGTGAGCCTCGATTTCTTCGATAACTGTGGGTGTGATTTTTTTTTATCTCCACATTTAATGTTGTCTCGAAACATTAAGCAACTTATAAGAAATTTTATGTAACTAATGTTTGGCATATATTTTTTTTTAATACCTACGCTATTACGTACTCAACTATATCATGGCACGTGCATTGCACGTGCTTCTGACTAGTTATATGAAAATAAACCAATATCAACTTGTCTTGGTAAATACTAATATAGAAGAAAATCCAAGAAAAAGAAGTTTTAATAAATAGAGATTTTAATAATGAAAAATAATTACATGAAGAAAAACCAAACACGTCCTATAAATGATAAAATTGACGAACGACAAAAAATGTAGTATTTATTTCGTCAATCCACTGAGCAATCCCTCGTGCATTTTGTTTACTAAAATATGTTGAATTAAAATCACCGTAAGTGTACGGTTCATGACAAATAATAAAATGGTCTTTTTGAGTTCAAGTATCGTCCCACTAGGATTTATTAGTTTAAATTCTAATTATCGTGACCTTAATCGAAACAACAAAAAGTGAGAGTGTTTGTTTTGATGAAATTATAACTAAATTAATGATAAATATGCAAGTATGAATGAATTAACTAAATAAATGCAAATTAGCAATGAATGTAAATTGAAGTGTTTTCTAATATGTGATGAATTTATTAGGATCAAGAATCCCTATGTAATATTTTTTTCTCCTAACTTAGTTCTACACCTTGACACACGATTGAAATATTGAAGAATTAATGCTCCTAAATTATTTTACAGACTTCCTCGAGTAAAGTTAAACCTAATTCCATATGTGACCCGACTATATTTCTATGACTGATGCAAACATAAAAAACTGCACGATGTTTTGTGAGCACTTAAATATTCACACAAGGTATAACGGTACATTTTTATCCCATATCGGACCCTATGATGATTTACATATGTCGAACATATTCCCCTTCTTTCGAATGCATGAAATAAGCCACCAAACTCACATAATTATATATATAATAATCATAGAGAAAATAAATTCATATAAATTATTCAAATATCTCAAAATGTGTTTTTTATTATCAAGAATATAAAATTAAAGTTAAAGAATCATATTACATAGTTCATCTAACCCTAATACAAAATTAATCTAGACAGCATGGTAGAAAGAAGAAAATCAAAAAAATAATGAAAAAACGACATCACCCCGATTAATTTTGAATTGAATATTTGTGTTCTTGAAATTGATCTTCACGTTCTTCCTCTCTTCTTTGCTCCAAAAGCTCTTCAAAATATGTTGTAATGTGTCCCCTCACTTTTGGATGGCCCTAGAGTTTTAAAAGACGTCCGAAGATTCGTTTCCATAAGAGTTGGAATAAAATTAGAAAATTAGAATTTTTTTCTCGATTTGGCCTGGGCCGACTCCAAGTACAAAATGGGGTGACCGCCCAGGCATAAAATTTTGTTCCTGTTAATGGAGTTGGGGGTTGGGCGATGCCCAGTTATAAGAAATTCTGCGAATTTTCATTTCGGCCATTTTCTTCATTCTTTTTACCATCTTGATCCTCCACATCAAATTACTTCAATGTTAGTGCTTCAACTTTTACTCAAATACATATTAGTCCCCAAAATTTCATCAATTGGCCAATTTATCCATATTTCTTTTTCAATTGCTAGAAACTGATTTAAATTAAGTAAAATGCAATAATAAAATAACACAACGTGCCTTCATAAGTACAGAAAAATGTACTGATCACATTCTGTCCACACAATCTGGAAAAGGATCGAATAGAGATATATTGATACTGATAACCATTTCACACGCTAAAAACCCAAAAATTTCTTGAGGTAATTCAGCTTCTGTTTTGAAAATACATGCTTTATTTTTTCTCTGTTTTTGTTATTTGTGCAAATTTATGATGATTTCCTTATGCGCTTCTAATAAATTATTGATGCTTCATTTTGGGTTTAAAAATTTCTTGGTTCATCTATTTTTATTTTTATTTTTTTTGGAATTTTGAGGAAATAAGTTTGCATTAATTTAAAATTGCTCTTTTTCCTGTATTAATTCGTGAATGTTATCAATATATTCATTCGGGTTCTGATTTTTTGGGGTTATTGCAGTTTGTAATTTTTTTGGGGATTGAGTATGCTTTTATTTTATGTATATAATTTCTGTAAATTTGAATTCTTTCTGAGCTGTCTATGGATTGCAGAATGTAAAATTTAATTCTTTCCTTACTTATTTTCACTTATTTCAATTAATGTTTGTCAGTTTGAATATACAATTAAAGTGGATTTGATTCGTCTTGTGTTTTTCTTTTCTTTTCATTGTGTTTGTATTTGGCCTTTTTCTGTTGAATTATGCTAAGGAAGATTAGCCGACACTTATTTACTCAATGTTTTAGTAGACTTCTTTGATAAGATAGCTTAATTCCTTTTAGATGTAATAATTTTCCTGATCAATCCAATTGCCTGATAAGTTATCAATTTGTAAATCTACATTGATCGATTGTCTTGGTTTTATTTAGTCTTGAATTTTTTTCCCCTTTGGCATTTACTGCAGAATGGGAACCACGGTTGAAACCAACTACGGATCGTACACATATGAAAACCTCGAAAGGGAACCCTACTGGCCAACGGAAAAGCTTTCGATTTCCATTACTGGAGCTGGTGGATTCATTGCCTCTCACATTGCCAGGCGTCTGAAGACTGAAGGTCATTACATTATTGCTTCTGACTGGAAGAAAAACGAGCACATGACAGAGGATATGTTCTGTCATGAATTCCATCTTGTTGATTTGAGAGTGATGGATAACTGTTTGAAAGTTACCCAAGGAGTTGATCACGTGTTCAATCTTGCTGCGGATATGGGAGGGATGGGCTTTATTCAGTCAAATCACTCTGTCATCATGTATAACAATACGATGATCAGTTTTAACATGATCGAGGCTGCCAGGATTAACGGAGTCAAGAGGTTCAATTTCGTTAATCTTATTGATTTTATTCAGCATTTGGGTTTATAAGTAGAATTCTGGTAATTCATACAAGCAATTATACGATTAAGCATTCATTAACTTGAAAATTATGAGAGTGTAATGCTCATTTTGTTCAGTTTGTGAATAACAAAGCTATTGTGTCAACTAGTGAAAGGTCGGATTCCTTCATTTTTTTCTATCAGATTCGAAATACAATATATTAGTATTGGAAATTGTTTTAAAGATATTTTTCGCCTCTGTTTTTGTCAATCGCCCTTTTGTGTTAGGTTACTAAAGTAAGAAAAGTTTCTTAGAAAGGGGCGAAGAATCAATTATTAGATGCCCTTTTCTCAATGGATGTATGTTATGTCAGCAAACGATTGATATTCTCCATGCCATCACATGCGTTAATAGCTGCATTCCAATGCTTGAAAAATATTTTTTGTTAAAAATGCGGAGTTTTTCTTTAAAATAAGTTCTGTGAGGCGCATATTTAGATCTGAGAATCTGAATATTGATTTCTCCGAGTTGGATTCAGGTTTTTCTATGCCTCCAGTGCTTGTATCTATCCTGAATTTAAGCAGTTGGATACCAATGTGAGCTTGAAGGAGTCTGATGCTTGGCCCGCTGAGGTTTTTTTTATTATGCTCGTAAAATTCTTGTACTTAAATTTCGGATGTCTAACATTGTCAATGAGATTTTATATTGTTTTCATTTTTAGCCCCAAGATGCTTATGGCTTAGAGAAGCTGGCAACGGAGGAACTCTGTAAACACTACAACAAAGATTTTGGAATTGAATGCCGAATTGGAAGATTCCATAATATTTATGGTCCATTTGGGACATGGAAAGGTAAACTTGAAGCTACTGTGAAATTTGTAGTATTTTTCTCTCTCTTTTTTAGTTCACAGCGCCTTCCCTTTAAATTGTCAAGGTTTTTCATAAATTGATGCAGGTGGGAGGGAGAAGGCACCTGCTGCTTTCTGTAGGAAATCCCTTACGTCCACAGATAAATTTGAGATGTGGGGAGATGGTTTACAAACACGATCTTTCACCTTTATTGATGAATGCGTCGAGGGTGTTCTGAGGTATGTTGACCTAAGAAAAAGAATTTTTTATAGTACACATAATAGATTGTTTTTTCTATTGAGATTGAGCAGTGGTCTTGCGTTTTGTTTTCCAATTTGGCATGTATACCCATGACTCTCTTTGCAAGACGAATATTATTTGAAAAAATAATCTTAACACTGGTAAAAGTAGTATTGTTCAACCAATAGAGCACTGACACTGAATGATCTTTACGCTAACGTTACGGGTATTGGCTTGCCTGAAGAGCTTTTATCTAACTCTTATTCTTATGCCATCTATTCATAATAAGATTAAAAATTGCTTTAAGTTTTTATTTCGGAAGTGTGATTGCACATTTCACAGCTTAAATGAATTGTTTTATGCATGCAGATTGACAAAATCTGATTTCCGAGAGCCTGTAAACATTGGAAGTGATGAGATGGTCAGCATGAATGAGATGGCTGAGATTGTCCTGAGCTTTGAGAACAAAAAGCTCCCCATTCATCACATTCCTGGACCTGAGGGTGTGCGTGGTCGAAACTCAGACAACACTCTAATTAAGGAAAAGCTTGGGTGGGCACCTTCTATGAAACTGAAGGTGACATGTTTAAGAGTGTTTTTTTTTTAAATTCTTTTGTCCATCGACTGAACCCTTTGTAACATATTACTCATTGATCATATCCATATGTAATATGTTCCGTGCGCTTGCAGGATGGACTGAGAATCACATATTTCTGGATCAAGGATCAAATTGAGAAGGAGAAGGGTGATGGCACTGATATATCAGCCTACGGGTCGTCAAAAGTTGTGGGAACCCAAGCTCCAGTTCAACTTGGTTCTCTTCGTGCTGCTGATGGCAAAGAATGAAAGAAATGAAGCCAATGGGTTAACTTTAATGCGTGATCCAGGTTCTATATTTTGTGCCACCGTTTTTTATGGAGTGAAACATCTGCATTTCAGCCTTTCGATATGCTTTTTATTTTCGAAGCTGTTGTGTTTTTTCTGCAATCATAGCATATTCAAATGTGCAATGAATACCTCTAGTACATGTCTCCTCTTTGGAAACACATGTTGCTTCCATTTGTATCAAATTTATCCCTTTATGTTCTGTTTATTTAGCCCCTGTATGGCATTTTCTTATTTTACTACGTCATGAAAGGCTGAGGCATCTTTGGCGGTCATTATGTGGGAAACAACATGACAGTTGGATGTTAAATTCCAATAAGTTTTGGTTTTTGTCAATTATTCTGCCTAATTGTCATTCATCGGACTCTTCAGATGTCATTCGGAAAGCACAATTTGGCGATTCAAATATAAAGAAAACAATCAGAACTGCCCGATTTTTATCTTATTTCAGTAGTTTTTTGGCAGGTTTTGACGGTTGGCCTATAACCTGACTTTTTTCATTGAACTGGTCAATCTGATCCGATTGTCGTAACATTTCTGATAAGTTATAACTACTAATCCAAATGTAGGAGTCGGGGTATTGGGGTGAGGGTTGTGCTGAGAGAGTTCGATGGGGAATGGCGATCTTGGCTAGTCTTCTTAATCTTTACTTGTTTAGAGGAAGAAAGGACGCACAGACGAAAGAAGATATCATGGCTTAGAACATGGAAAACTATCGGGTTGGCGTGCAGTATTAGGTTGGATAAGGATTAATTTAATCTTATTCGGCATTTGGAGCAATTAATACCCAGATTAAATTTTTCCCGGGTGTTTACTTTTCTTTTTAAGAAACCACTTAGAGATTAGAATTTCGAGTGAACCTAATTGTAATCATTTAGGAGTAAATGCAACACAAAAATAAAAAAAAAAGATTGCCTTCAAGCTCAACAAAAATGAGAGCAACCTTAAAAAAACCAATTGCCTCTGGATTTACTTCTACTCAACCATATGATGCTCGAGGTCAGCAACCCGCTTGTCAAGTCTCATTCCTCTATACATCCGATCACCCGATCTTTTTAGCCGAAAGCTCCTTCAATCTTTGTTGACCCATCATTTTCTAGATAATCTTGCATTAGTTTCTTCTTTATGATCTAATGATAAAGAGAAGGAAATGGTTGAACAAGATATAGCATGTATGGGAGGGTTTGAAGGTTTTGAGGGCTTCTAGTGAGAATGAATGTGATTCATCTTTTTTGGGGGAAGTAAATTTCCATGGTTGATAATTTTATAGAGTTGTTCAAGCAAGAATTTATTAATTTGAGGTATTTATCCTTCTTTAGTCAATAGGATAAAATCAATACGGCTTATGAAGTGGGCTTATGAGGGATCAGTATCCTTTTTGGGATTGCAGTTGAGCTTCTCTGTGCCCATTTCTCCTACACCAAAAGTTTTTTTTACGAAGACTAATTCTGCAAGGAAATAAAATGTATGTCACTATGTATAACATACAGAACTAAATACAAAAATCATAAAGTGGGCATTGAGACATTGAAATTTAGTACGAGTAACGATGATAAAATGTATTTCTTCTTTTGATAGGGATTCTTTGAATGTCATCTCAAATAGACTCTTACCGCTCGGGGAAGTATCTCGATGAGGAGAATCAATGATTCTCTTATGAACGTTTGTTACCCGCGTATGATGACATGAAATGAAGGAGAAATGAGTATCAGTGTACCAATTTTCGTGACTTCATCACTTGCATCATCAGGTAGGACTGGACGTGGGTTGAATTGGTTTTGAGTCCAACCCAACCCAATATGTTCGGTTTGATAATAATTCAAATTGAAATCAATCTATTCACGGTTGAAACTCAACCCAATCCAAACCGACCAAACTCGGGTTGGTTTGGAATTTGTTGGACCCAATTATTCTATTGTTGGACAATTTTTTTATGGGCCCAATGGGTGAGATCTTTTTCGTTGGATTTGAGCAATTTTTTAAAAAATTTGATACAATTTCAATTTGGGCTAATTTCAGTTACATTAAAAAATGGTGATTTGAAACACTTTAAATCGGTTAAAATTGGATCAATGGTTCGTGGGGTTAAGTTTTATTTCGATAGAACAATATAAATTAAAAATATTGTAAAATCTGTTAAATAGATTATACCATTATCAAAATAAATACATATTAAATCAATCTAAATACATGTTGAATACCTGCATATTATACCCATTGAATAAAATGAAGAGACGAGAGGCAAAAGAGACGTGAGGCATATGAGAATTTTGATAATTAGGTTTAGGTTTTTGATTTTAAGTACTAATTTTCTTTTTAATATTTTTTATTTTATTGGGTTGGGTTTGATTGAGTTTTAATAGATAATTCGGAACCCAATCCAATCCGACCTAAAATTTGATTTGCTAACCCGAATCCAACACAACTGAACTAAAAAACCAACTGAGTTGGATTGATCGATTTGATTGGTTCGGATTAGTTTTTGCATAGCCCTATCATCCCAAAACACTTTGACATTTTGAGATAAATGCCTTTGAGATGGCAGGAGTGGTTCTTTTCATATTGCAAATTACGTGCCATATTTGGACATGTCATCTCATCCAAAGCATCTCAACTTAGTTACAAGATAGAACTCCTCATTTGAAAATCTCACATGATTATGTCCTTATGTGGATGCTTTTACTTCCGTTATAAATAGTCTGTCGATCAGTTGGTGCTAAATATTGAATTGTCAAGAAAATGGCGAAAGCAGAAACGCCTCCTGAACAAAGCTTTCCTCGTAGATGTCACCTTCAATTTGAGCATAGATATCACTTCTTTCTTGCAGACACCGATATCGTGCCTCCAAATCAGTTGTTTCGATTCTCACTCCAACGACAAACATAAATTTAACTACTCACTCATTGCCTAATCAAAAAACAGAAAAATGTAACATGATACAATATAAAAATATTTAACAACCAAAAAACAAAAACAAAAAGTACAATTTGTCTGAGAGTAGTTCTTTAGCAATGGTTTAATAATCGAAAATCCTAAAAATCAAGCACATGTGAATCATGGTGGTGTATTTCTTTCTTCTTCATGTTGGACGTGCAAATCAACGACTTCCCTCGCCTTCTTCCCATTGTCGCAATGTTGTGTGGATTTTTAGCCAATTTCGTGTCCAGTTGGGTGGAATCTTCAATCACTATTTTCGTTAATAGTGAGTCAATCTTTGTCAATGATCATGTGACTCTAAGGAAGTGTTTGACGGATAGATCAATTTTGATGAGCAAAATAAATACGTGGACGTATTTTTAACCAGAGAATTCTTAATAATCATTGCACGAAGATGCAATTTCAGGGCATATACATTCTAGGGTGATTTTTTTTTTTAGATTATGGAAAGGTTAAGAGTTTCTTTTTCAAATTAATTGTATTGAATCATTTTTTACTACACATTAATTGTATTTTTTAAATAAAAAGGTTGGGTAGTAAAATTGGAATTATGTTTTAATATGGGTTATTGGGTGAAATTTTACCTTTAAATTATGTACTTACATTGGTGATGACAGAGATATATATGATTGGAGCATCCAATATTTTCTTCTCTCATATTCTACTAAACACAGGAAAATATAAAACCCTATACAAGAAGTTTGCTTTCACTAGTTTTCTTAACCAACCAACCAATGCAAAACAATAATTTTCGTGCGAAAACCTAACACAATATAGTGTTCCTAGGTTTGGGCAAAAAAATCGAAAAACCAATCAAATCGATCGAACCAAACTGATCGGTTTGGGTTGTTTTAAAATAGCAAATCAGTTCTGTTCAGTTTGGTTAATATTTAACCACTACCACGTCGATTGGGTTGGTTATGGATTAAGACTCCAACCCAGCGATTAATAGACCCAACGCAACTCGCTTATTTAGCTGGGTATTTGCTTGAGGTGTCTACTAGGATAAATTTATTTTTCCATCAAGTTGCTCTATTATATGGATAACCTGTAGGTTGTAGCTCTGTCACCTTGTGCAATACTCGAGTAAAATGGTGTACAAAATTGTTTGCATTAATAGCAGCGACTATTATGTATTTGTATTAATTACAAGTTATGGATTATTGATTTCTACTTCTTTCAGACTTCAATTTCGACTTTCAAGTGCTGTAGCATTAAGTTTTATTGATTTTTTTTTCACAGATGAAGAGTAGTGCAAAAATCGAAACAAATTATGGATGCATAGAATTGGGTCCAATCCTAAACGGGACAGCTTTTAATTCAATTTAGGCCAATGCCCAAACCTATTAACCAAATCGAACTGATTCAAACCGATTCGGTTTGGGTTGGGTTGGTTTAAAAAGTTGGATTTGGTCGATTTTGGTTAGAATTCAGTCTATTTTGATTTCGGGTTGGAGTTGAAACCTACCCAACCCGAATCATGCCCAAGCCTAATTGTTTCTACATTCCTTTTATTAGCCGGTGGATTATGGTTTATTTTATTTAGATGCTTATCAATTATTCCTAATGTATTTAAAGATTCATTTTATAAGACTTCCCTAAAAAAGTTACATTAGACTAGCTTTCTCTAAAAAAAATATAGTTAGATAAAAACTTTCAAAAATTAATTATTCAAACATGTTCAAAAATAATTTTTTGTAACGGTCCGAAAATTTTATAGAATAAAACTAGTTGTTCTGTCTGCTATATTTTTATAATTTTAGAAAGTTGATGGACTAAGGTAAAATAATATTAAATTCAATTTTATTTGGATCAAATATTTAGTTATTGGTAAAACAATAATAAGTATATCATTATTGAGCTCATTGGATAGCTTGTATTTAATCATCAATTATAGGTTCAAGAAAAAATGGATTCGAATAAGTCAGCTCCAACGTATTATAATTTACAGAAGTTGTCATTGAATATTATTTTATTACTTTAATATTGTTTTCTTTTAACTTTTGAAAGTGTTGCAGGCACGT